TTGAATATATATATTAAAAAAAAAAGAAGGAGGGGGGGGCTAAGATCCGTTAAGAGTCATATTTTTTAAAATGAAACATTAATTAATAAAAGTAAATAAATACGAGAGATGGTAGATAAGATTAAATAGAAATGTAAGAGAGAGTAATAATTATTAGTACATGTATAAACATGATAGGTCAGGTGAATATTATATGTGTTAATGTGTATTCTATGGGCACCGTCAGTAAAATCCTTAAAAAAAAAAGTGTCAACTGGGTACTCGTTAAGATATATTTTGGGTATTATATTTTTAGAAATGTAAGATTAATGAGAGAAAGTAAATAAATACAAAGAATGACAGATAAGATTAAATAACGAAAGTATATAAATGTAAGAAAATATAATAATTGTTAATATGTGTATATACATGACAGTTTAGGTGAATTATAAATGTATTAATAAGTGCTCGATTGGCATCTAGTGTTAAAGAGTAGTATTCCTTACACGTAAAATAATAAAATTGCTGGAACATATATTTGAAAATTAAAAGGGTATTGATTCGGAGAATACTAGTGCCACTGTATTGGAGCTCTGAAAAATAAAGATCATCTGCATGTTCCATTGGGCCTTAGAGAAAACAAAACCGATAAGGCTGATTTCTTCTTCGCCGACCTGTGAAATTGGGCCTCTCATGTAATTAATCATCAGCCCACCAGAAAATGTTACCTACAAACTTCAGTCAAAATCCAGTCTCGCTCCCTCTCACACATAAAAATCTCCCCGTCCGCGGGGGTCGTGTAACACGAGAAACCGCAGAAACAAGGAGAAAGAGAGAGCGGGGCTAGGGTTTTCGTCTGCGGAAGCTCATCGGCAAACACAACAATGATTTACGACGTCAACTCCCCACTTTTCCGATCCTTCCTCAGCCAGAAAGGAGGCTCCTCAGACAAGAGGTACCCCTTTTTTACCCAGTGATTTATGTCGAGTCCCCCTTTTTAGCTTTTGCATTTCTTCCTCTTTTTTTCTGGTAGGTGTTGAAGGGGGGGGGGGGGGGGTTTACAGTAATTAACAATGGAAAATGCAATAGATGGAAGAAAAAATGGTGGAGATTGTGTCTGTGGAGCTTGAGCTACAGGAAATCAATGTTCTCTCGCATAACATGCTTACTAGCCCTGTAATTGAATCCCTAATTATGGACTTCAATTTCTATGGGTTTATTTTAACCATGTTCTCGTGCAAGTTGCATAAGCTGTTGTTTTTCTCTGGAAGCTCGCATTAAGGTGCTTCTCGTCGTTTGACTTAGAAAACATCGCTAAATTTGGATATGGTTTTTTGAGGACGAATAAAAAGGAAAAAGCTACATGTTTTTTCTTTTCGGGGAACTTATGGCCATTGTTATGTGGCATGGAGTTTTTTTTTTTTTTTTTTACATGGATATAGCTGTGGTAATGCGTTACTTATTTTCTTCGAATTTTTGTAATACAAGGTTCTATTGCTTTAATTTGCCTTTCCAACAATAGTTTACCTTCAGATCCTGTATGTGGTTGTCAGATATTGATTGATATTTTCCTGTAAGAGAGTATATATTATTTTGGTTCAGTGGAAAGATGGTGAAGCTTCTTCTTGTGTTATTTTTGTCTGTTACCATCTTTTCATGGTTGACTTCCTTAACATTCATAATGCTATCTCTGTATTTCTTATGAAAAGATGAACAGGGCGTTTTAAGGGATCTTATTTGTGGTCATTGTAATTGCTATTATCCAGACATTCCCCTGATTTTCATTCATACTTTTGTAGGAAAAATGAGGAACAAAAGCCAAAGGAACAGAAGCCTAAAGCAAGTGAGAACAAGCCTGTAATGACTGAATAATCTTCTTGTAATGATCGAGCGATCTCCTTGATGTGAGCCTTAAGATGCATGTGATGTAAAACTTTCAGTTACAGATGCTAAAGATGAAATTTGTTCGTGTTGTTTTCTGACTTCTGAAGTTGTAGTCCATCATTATGTAAGCCCTGCCTGGTTAAATACTGCCATTATGAGTTTTTGATGGATGGACATTTAGACTTAGAGGTGGTCAGGTCTTTCATATTTTGCATTGTGCATTGCTTCCAAGTACTGTATGAGAAGTTTCCTTCTATATTTAATCCTTAAAGTTACAGTGAGCGCATCTAATTCTTAAGACGTAACATGATGGGTGTTGCACAAGTGTTTGTAATAATGACGTTTGACTGTTTTTAGAAGACAATAAAAGGGGGTTAAGAGGTCAAGTTACCTTTTCTTTTAGGGTCCCTTGTGCTTTTCCGTGTAAGCCTTTCACGCATACAAGTCCGTCATTCTTGAATCGTCACATGACCTAGCAACTTCCTTGTAAGTTAGTTTAGAGAATCTGATTGGGCCGGTTTGACTCCGTGTGCAGTTGTTAATCTGTGATTGTTCAAGCTCCAGTTACTAGGATTTTGGGGATTTTGGGGCAATGTAGGTTTATAAACCATGTTGCTACCGTGGCTACACTGAATTATGCTGGCCAAACTTCTTTCAGTGGTGAAGTGGCGATTCTTGCTATTGATCTGGTGGGTACCGATTTTGTTTAGTAAACATTGCATATCTAATTTGATTATTTGCCATTCTCGCCGATTTGTTGTCCATGCATACATGAGATACCGAGTTGCCTCAAAGGATCCTTAGGTACTTGAGCCCCGTTCTGCTTAATGCTCGCTGTGCAAGCTGCTGCTGTCGCCTGTCAGTTTGCGCCTCGCAAACCAAATCAGGGGCTACCCCGCAGCCACAGCACGGAGAAGTGCTTTGGGAATTATACACAGCCAAGGTAGGGGGCTGACTTTTATTGGGAATTATACACAGCCAAGGTAGGAGGCTGACTTTTATGACTGAGAAGCGTCTTATGGTGTCGCATAGTACATTGTCGTCGCTTAGCTCCAAATGGTTGTCTTGTGCAAGTGGAACTCCATTTCCCTCCTTTATGTTTGACGGCAAGATTTACCCTTGGTGGCACCAAAATGCATTTGTACCACGGAAGATGCGTTTTGTCGTCTCAAGCCCTTTTGTTTTTTCCTTTTTATTGTCTTTGTGGGGGGGGGGGGGGGGGGGTGGTTCAAGCTGGGTCTTTTTTTATGTAGACTTGTAGAGAGCATATTTCTGGTGGCGATTGGACAAGGGCTTTGGCCTTAGTAGTTGTATTCCCGAAAGAAATCCGTTTCAGGGCTGGAATTTGTTGAGAGGCCTGTCGGCCTTTGAAGTGACGGGAACGTTCAGCCTCAACCCTAACCTGACTATGGGAACGGTCTTGCAGCCACTCGCGGCCCTTGGTAGTGCCAGTCACCCTCGTTATCCTTGCTAATCAGTGTGACAACTGGCAGATGAAACTCGGAAATAAGACCGATAATACATTTCTTCCATGGTACGGACGCATCTACAAGTCAGCAGCTTACAGAGGCCTACCAGGCTTCTGTAATAATTCTTGGGTTAGTAGTTGAATCATAAACATTTTGTGTGCTAATGTTACTGCCGTTAAAAAGACTTTTTTTTTTTTTTTTAAAAGACAAACCCGTTAAAGAGACTTGAAAGAAAAAGGAGAGTTTGGCATTGCAGTACCGACACCTAAATGGCACGTAAAATTAGTATACATGCAATAGGCGCGTAATTTTCCGGTGATCAAATAGACATAAATGTATTGGATGAGTGGAATTTTGGTCGATAACGGGATTGGTGGATAATTAGAAAGATCCTCGAGTGTTGTCAGCAGACATCTGGGCCCATATTTCTTTTGAAAAGCTTGGATACCAAACGGTGCATGCATAGCGAATGCTTGAGTAGCTATTGAGTGGGTTTCCATGTGCATTCATCAAGCCCCTCAATCACCTATGCCGACCCACCCCTTTGCTGAGTTTCCATTCTTAGCGCACATTAGCCTGTCCGCGCGCTTCCTTTATATGACTGGCTAACTGGTTGGTGGTCGATTAATGAATTGGTAGAGTATTAATTTCCCGGCAAACATAGAGGTCAATTCGAAGTAATAGCTGAATGACAGATTAGAATGTGCAAGCTTTAAATTTCGGAATGTGGACGTGATTCGGAAATGTCACCACGGTATTAGTAGTAGTAGTGTTTTCTTGAATCAGAAACTCCCCTGTCAAAACACTCGTACTATTTCAATTTGTTCAGTTTGGCTCTGTGTAGGATCGCCAGTCCCCTAGTGCATTTTCTAGTTGCAGAATCAGGAGCCCACCTACCATTCATTATTTGCCCAAAGCTGGATTCTGGAATGTTAGCGAGTATAGGATGCCAAGGCGGAGCGCATTATCATTATGATAATACTACTACTATCATCGATGAGCTAATAAGCTGCGTGCGCTTGTGTTTGGTTTATTATTTCCCCCGTCTGCTGCTAGCGTATTTTGTTTCTGCATGTGATACATGTTTTTTTTTTTTTTTTAAAATATGCAACCAGTTGATGACTGTAACTTTGACTTGAGCAGTTCAGCCAGTGATTATTTATGCACATCACCAAAATTACTACTCATTTGAAATGAAACTAGGAGTAAGGTTTAGCAATTTTCTCAGTTGCCAGATAGATCAGGAGTATGTGTCAACAGTACTACTTAAACGCTAGGAAAATGAATGGGACCCTGACCCCCGCGAGGCTGTTCAGGGAATTTCAAAGCAGAAAAGACAATTGAGTTTACATCTGGTGGTTATAGAAGAAGAAAGAAAAGTAGCAGTAAGAATTTCTTGTCCCTCCCATAGTCATAAATCATAATAGAGTGTTAGTCGTAGTGCTTTTTATTTCTCTCTCCCTACCACTACCAGCAATTGCATCCCCTTTATTCACGCCGCATTCACTCCCAACACTTTCTCCCCTGTTCTGTTGCCTTGCTCCAAAGTCCAACCAGACAAACGCCTCCGACACACTTCACTTCACCTGCACCATTTCTTCCCTCATCTCCCATTTTTCAATTCGAGTCCTCCCTTGGCTGCCTCTGTAGCCTGCACGACTTAGAGAGATGTCTGAGCTGTGCTTGTCTAGACCGTCCAGGACTCACCTCTCTAGTCTCCTCCTATCCAACTTCTTCCTCTTTTGTTCTTTCATCGCCTCCCACCCTCTCTACTTCACTTACCTCATCTTCTTCTCACCCTACCTTCTCAAGCTCCTCTCCTTTCTTTCCCCTCTCTTCATTACCACCTCCCTCCTGCTCCTTGCCCTCCTCACAGCCTCTCCTTGTCTCATAGTAAGTGGCAGCTTCTCCAAGGAATCATCCGATTCCCATGCCGAAAGCAAGGGGAGTTTCCTGACTGCTGCATATCATGCAGTTGTAGAAAGGCTGAGGTCCAAAATTGATGATCACAATGAGGAGGAACTTCTTTGTCTGGAGGACTTTGAGGTGTTCAAGATTGTGTTTGGCAATCCCACGACCCAGGATGATAAAGAAAGCCAAGTTGAAGGCTTTGATGCGGAAGTACTAGTTGAGGATACTTCTCTTAAAGCTTCAAATGCTCCGGTTATTGCTGCATGTGTTGGACATCAAGATTTCGGCGTAACCTCAAACGAAGCATTAATGGCAAGTAAATTGGAATCAGAGTCAGAGGCCTTTGTTGAATCGGAAAGTACCTGTGATGCAATGGAGTGCTTCCTGCAAGAAGTAGATGAGTCTGAGAACGTGAAAGTGAATGCAACTGTGGAAAAGAAGAAAATCGAGCCACCCTGCACGGTGGCCAATAAAGCAGTTGACAATCATGGAGAAAAGTCACCAATGAGAAATGGATCCGAGGCAGCAGGTAATAAAATAAGACACGCTACTACTACTAATACTACTAATTCAGCTGAAGTTGGTAAAGGCAACGGGATCATGGAGTCCAAGTCAAAGCTACTAAAAGCGCATTCTCATAGTGTTGGCGCCAGTGCTGATTACACTAACGACAAGTGTATCTGGAAAATACAGAAGAGTTCTCCATCCCTGGATTACAATCTTGGGGGCTATGGATCAATGAGGAAGGGGAAGGATTGGAAAAGGACATTGGCGTGCAAGCTTTTCGAGGAGAGAAACAATGCGGATGAAGGTGAAGGGATGGATTTATTGTGGGAGACCTACGAGGTGGAATCGACTAAGAGCAAGGCAAAGAGCAAGAGCAAGAAGAAGAGTCACAAGAAGAAAAATGAAAGCAAGCATCGTGAATGCGAAGATATCAGCTGCGATGGGCACGATGAGGATGAGGAGGAGGAGGAGTCAGAGGGGCAGTTTTGTTGCTTGCAAGCCCTTAAGTTGTCAGCAGGAAGGGTGAATTTGGGAATGGCAAGGCCTAATCTCGTTAAGATCTCTAAAGCCATTAAAGGAATTGGGTGGCTGCATAATCTGAGCAGGCATAGCAAGAAGGTGCACAGTGGAGACAGATTCTAATTTACTTCATACACTGACACTAGTCGTTAATTGGTGGTAGCAGCGAGATTGTACTACTATTTTTAGTTTCTTTGAATATTTATTTCTTGCTAGTATATATATAGTTTGTATCTTTTAGCGCCCATGCCAATTGTTAATAAGAAAATCTTGTGCTCTATAATTTCTTCAAGTTATGGATGAAAAAGCAGCAGATTCTTGACCGCATTAGCTCTAGCATGATGTCCATGATAAACAGTAAGTGGAAAAAGGAAGTGAAGTTAAATCTTTGGAGCCTAATGAAATGGTCAAGGTCTGTGAAGAGCAAGAGCCCTCCATTTTATTCTGTCTGAATTTTTTCGGATTCGGATTCGGATTCGGCAAGTGTGGTGTTGTACGAGATACATTCATTAGCGGACGGAAGGATGTATGTTTATTTGGTCCAAGTGCATCTGATGAGCTGTGGGCCTGCAGGCAGGCCCTGATTTAGCAAAATCGCTCTTGGGTCTTCAACTGGCAATTTTGGGACGATTAGATCTGGTTCGTTTAAAAAGCCTATGCCTTGTGTGCCTGTTATAGCCCCCTTTCCATAAGGGAAGTGAGCCCTTTTTTTTTGGTCAAAAGAGCTTGAGCTTGAACTTGTGATTTTCTGCAACTCACACTGTGACGGGACCATCATTCCACAGAATCAGGCCATATTTATGCATCTAGTGGGGGGTTTTTTTTTTTTTTTTTTATTTCCATGTTCCATTAACATTATTATAATCATGGTAATGAGAGAGAGAGAGAGAGAGACAAGAGAAATAATCAGCAGATGCGCATAATCTGCTTCGATAATTGGACGTTTACTTTTGTTACGCAACCATAATCTCGCATTATCGGACTCCCAATCCCATGTGAATTCAATTCTAGCTTATAATCCCCATCTTGTTTGGTTACCGGAGTACGTAAAACACTTAAAAAATGAACCAAAATTCATACCGAAACAAAAGCCAGGAGCCAGCAACCCTATTCTGCGGAACAGTTTTGAAAGATGCAGATATGTATTAAGTTTTGAGGGATATTTCTAAAAGAATTCAGATATTCCCCTGCCTGCTAGTAACTCCGCATTGAACTTCTCATCTGGAATTACACATACTCATCACTTGCCGTTGATTTAATTGTTGCCCGACTTAATTTTACATTGGATTTGTTTGGACGGTGAAATTATCCCAAATAATATTTCGCTTACATCAAAAACACATCTTTCAACACACCTTTTTATATTGTCAATCATCTTTTTTTCTCACATACATCATATCACAAAAAGTGCTACAGTAATTAGTTCAAATAATACTCTATCTAGACAAATCCATTTTTTAATGAATTACTATGCAGAGCCAATCCTTTCTTTTTTTTTTTTTTTTTTGGTCATATATCACTCAATAGATAAAGTAAAAAGTAGGGAAAATTTATCTTCAGAGCGAAATCGTCATTATCACTTTTTATCACAAGATCGGCATTATCACTTCTTATCGTTATCATTTCTTCTTAACAGTTAACACTTCTTATCACAACAACATACCTTATAATTACTACTATCACTTGACATCCCTTCTAGAGAGATGTATTATTGAACGTATTCGTCATTTTTTCGCCTCTGCTGTTTTGGAGCTTTGAGCCATGCGCAGGAGCGTGATGAACAACACCTATCTGTAGAAGATACAAAAACGCGCTCTCCTCTCCTCTCTCTCTCTCTCTCACCACCGTCACCACCGTCAACTCACTAGGCCCCAGTCCCCGCGTTCGCTGAGTTGAGACTTGAGAGACCAGCAGCAGCACTGCAGCGGTAGTAGCCGCGGGAGGCAAACTACCACCGACATCTCTCTCCCACTCCCTCTTGCCTTCTTGCCCTCTTTTCATTTGCCATTTTCCTTGGAATATCGAAATTGCATCGCAACTAAAGTACATTGACATAGACAAAGCGATTCAACGAAATTATATTGTTATTGCTGCTTCCTGGGAATCTCTAGGATACGAAAGGAGGACATGGCGATTGGAAGGTTTCGGGCCTTACTCCGAGATCGGCCTCCCGCCCCTCGCCTTTCTACCTCCAACTCCTCGTCTTTCAAGCTCTTCGCCACTCTCCTCCTCGCCCTCGCCCTTTTCCTTTTCTCCACCCTCTCTCTCCTCCACTCCTCTTCCTCCCATTCCTCCGATCTCGACCAGGTCTGCTTCCCCCCCCCCCTTCCTCCCTCATCTGTTCATTCTAATTCCCTCCCCATTCTCTTTAGCATTTCATGCATATATCTTATTTAGGTCATGTGTTTATTCCTCTGCATATTCGTCATAGTTTGACTGCCTAATTAAAGGTAGAAATTAGTAACTCGATAATTATATTTGAAGGATATCGTGCTTTTCTTGCAGTGATTTTTATGCGTTCTGTCATTCCTACCCCATTTGGAACGTCTGTGCCCTGCCTTTACCTTCACATTTCTCTGTCACTCACATGTCTCATCTAGGGCTCATAACACATTCATGTTGTATTAACAGGATTTTCTGTTGAATTTAGGGCTCTTTTGGTTTGGCCGGCGGAGGACGGTCTAGGAGGTCTGTACTGGCGCTGAAATCCGATCCCCTGAAGCCTAGACTCGATCAGATTCGAAAGCAAGCCGATGATCACCGATCTTTGGTTCTCGCTTATGCTTCCTATGCTAGGAAGCTCAAGCTTGAGAACTCTAAGCTTGTTAGGGTTTTTGCGGATCTTTCCCGGAACTACACTGATCTAATATCCAAACCTTTCTATCGCAGTCTGTTTGGCATGGATGCTGACTCAATTGATGAATCAGTGCTCAGACAGTTCGAGAAGGAGTTGAAGGAGAGGATTAAAATGACGCGGCAAGTTATCTCAGAGGCCAAAGAGAGTTTTGATAATCAACTCAAAATTCAGAAGCTGAAAGATAACATTTTTGCTGTGAATGAGCAGTTAACCAAGGTGAGGAAGCAGGCTGCTTTCTCAAGCTTGATTGCTGCAAAGTCGATCCCCAAGAGTTTGCACTGCGTGGCTATGAGGCTGATGGAAGAGCGAGTTGCGCACCCGGAGAAATATACTGATGAGGGGAAGCCTATGCCACCAGAGTTTGAGGATCCAAAACTGTATCACTATGCCATCTTCTCTGATAATGTGATTGCTGCCTCCGTAGTCGTAAATTCTGCTGTCAACAACTCAAAAGAGCCATGGAAGCATGTGTTTCATGTGGTGACTGATAAGATGAATCTGGGGGCTATGCAAGTCATGTTCAAGATCAAGGATTACAACGGGGCGCACATTGAAGTGAAGGCTGTCGAAGATTACAAATTTTTGAACTCTTCTTATGTCCCAGTTCTTAGACAGCTCGAATCTGCAAATCTCCAGAAGTTTTACTTTGAAAATAAGCTGGAGAATGCAACAAAAGATACGACAAACATGAAATTCAGGAATCCCAAGTATCTTTCCATTTTGAATCATCTGAGGTTCTACTTACCAGAAATGTACCCGAAATTGCACAGGATCTTGTTCTTGGATGATGATATTGTGGTGCAAAAGGATTTGACTGGGCTTTGGAAGATTGATATGGATGGGAAGGTGAATGGTGCCGTAGAGACATGCTTTGGGTCATTTCACCGGTATAAACAATACATGAATTTTTCTCATCCTTTAATTAACGCTAAATTCAATCCCAATGCATGTGCTTGGGCTTATGGGATGAATTTCTTCGACTTGGACGCATGGAGGAGGGAGAAATGTACTGAAGAATACCACTATTGGCAGAATCTGGTAAGCCTACATTGAAATTTAATATTTGCCCTTGATTAGTAACCCACGCATGTTAATTTCTGTGTGGTAGTGGTACAATTCTATTCAAGATAATCAATTCTATTCTTTCTTTTACCAAGTAACGTATTATTCTTGCCTTTTTTGGTATTAGGAGTAGGATCAGCAACTGATTTGTTTATATGCTTGTATTGCTAATATCCTGTGGTTGTGCAGCCATAGCTTCTTTGCCTTACTCTTTGCTGTGTTATGTATTATTTTCTGTTATCTCTTATGTGCATCAAGGACATTAGCAATCAAAAAATTTCTTTTGTCACTGTTAAAATCACGAATATCTCTTTGGCAGAATGAAAATCGCACACTCTGGAAATTGGGAACATTGCCTCCAGGTCTCATCACATACTACTCAACAACGAAACCACTAGACAAGTCTTGGCATGTTTTGGGCCTTGGTTATAATCCATTCATCGACAAGGCTGAGATTACCAATGCTGCAGTTGTGCACTTCAACGGGAATCTGAAACCGTGGCTTGATATTGGCATGCTTCAGTATAGGCCCCTTTGGACAAAGTATGTTGACTATGAAAATGAGCATATCCAAGCCTGCAATTTTGGTCTATAGCTAATGTTATGAAGTGACCTGTGTTGAAGGATTGCCCAAGCAAGTTTTGCCAGCACCTTTTCCTGTGGCCTGCGCACCTCTCTTGCACGTAAATCAATTCTAATGTTTTATGCCTTAAAAACTTTCTTCTCTGTTCAACTTTCAGCATTCATCACTGCTATACTAGTCTAGAGTTCTACTCCTTAACTGTTCATAATGTTTACAGTTGAAATTTGGGGACTGAAAGTTAAGCTTTATAGAATGCTTTTTTTTTTTTCCTAATTAACAAATTTGTACTATTAGAGATGCGCAATGATGTTGTGGGTAATGGTTACCAATTTTTTTCAGTTAAAGGTTTAATTGCTCCCATTTGTCTGCAGTTTGGAATTTTGTTTTTATCTGGCCTTTCCACATATTGTTATTTGGATGGGCTTTATGAAATAATAGATGTAACCCTCTTAAGCTGTAAGTATATAAGTGAGATGCCCAAAATTTGGATAATCAGTTTTCAAGTACCCTCTTTTACATGTCTGACCTGCTGTCTCGATTGCTTATTGTTCCTGTTTCTGAAACAATCTTTAGCCTCCGCAAACTCTGGCATCGGCCTCTTCTTTTGTGTCATGTGAAGTTCACATGTTGGTGTTGGGAAACTCGTTAGGAAATAATTGAATCAATTGATGTTTTGCTTGCATGACAGAAGCTCCTCATTGTCATTGGGCCCTTCAGTTTTCAATATGAGGATACACCTTGTTTCTTTCTATTTGGAATTGTGATATAGAGAATTTTTGTTGTGCAATAATAAGCTAAAGATAAGCTTGTTGCATTTATACATATATATTTTTAAAAAACTTCTTGTGTCTATGTATATATGTATGTGTATATATATGTCTGTGTGTGTGTATGTATGTATACGTATTTTGACGGACTTTAGGGTAATACTGGCCATTATTAACAGCCAATTTCATTTTTCATTTTAGCTTTGACTGATTGTAGCCTGAAACCCTGTTTCGGCGTGGCAAGAAACTTTCACGTATAATAGTTAGTAATGTTTTATTGGTTTAGTGTTTAATTTAACTAGGGACAGTATCCTGAATTTGTTTTTAGTTCTTATTCTGTTTGTTTATATGCTCACTTTCCTTTTCTTGTATTTGTTCTCATTCCGAAGGGGCAAAAAGTTTGAGCTTCTATCATCTATGCTTTTCTGGTCATCTTTATTAAAATGTTCCGACGGAATTACTCTTACAGGATGACTGAAGACAATCCCTGTGCTAATCTAGGATTTCAACCTGTGCACCCAACCTGAAACCAAACTGATTGAATTGTCTATGGATAGTTTTGGTGTGAATAAAATAAAATATTTGAGGTCGTGGATTAAATATTGTAACTGGAAAATGAAAATGACCTGAGCCTAAAATCTAACCCATGAAGACACTGATGTCCTGTGTTTGTATGCATATTAAAATTCTTTCCCTTTTTCTAGTTTGATATCTCAACCCTCTCGATCCAGGGTGTCCTATTCTGACATTGAAAAGCATCATACGTTTAGCTTTATTGCTTGTAGCTGTGGTTATGTGATAACATGTAAAATTTCATGATCTTGATTCCCATGGTCCTTTTGTTCAAAAGTATATTTTGGTCCAAGAAATATGTTTTTGAATAGAAGGCCCATGTGTATCCTGATCATTGAACTTTTATATGTTAGATAGATAAGTATGAACCAAGGATGATCTGATGCTGCTGTCAATTTGCGTAATGGCCCCTGGTGTCTTTTGCATTGACTGCTTGTAGCATCATTTGCTCCTTAATCCTCATTCACAATAGTATAATAACTGAATGAAATAAACCTCATTTGAGACATAGTGGAATGATTATCATGGTGTGGAAGAGGTATACAAGCAACTTTCTGAAGGATTCATGCTTTTGGGTTGAACAATGAGTACAAGGACTGTGGCATTGTTTTCTCCCAAACGAATTGTTAAATGGTCAGCTTACCTTCTTGAAGACACTTAATTGCCCTGTTTAAGTACATAAAATTAACTAAATGTTTGGGTTTCACCCTCTATATGTAAGAAAGAACTTGCCTTTAAGATTTTTGCTGGCAAAGGGCATGGCTGTCAAAAGTATTATGTGTGTGCCTATGGAAATAGTGAAAATAGGAGAAAAGCTTTGGAAGATTCGCATTTTTATCTACAAATTAGATCTGGTAAACAGATTGTGGATTTTTAATAAGGACAAGCTAAAAGTGTTTTACCTTGTGAAGCGTGAGAGGAGGCAAGAATATGTCTTCTTCAGGTGAATGTTGTTGATGAAGATCATGTGGCAGAGTTAGAATATTTACATGGCAACTGTGTTACCATCTTATGATATGGAAATGCTGGGTAATCCATTATTAATCAATTGAAAGCATGAAACTTGCCTCTTGCCAGCAAAACGGGCCGACATGCTTTCGGATGTTTTACCCAAGTCACCAAACAATAATAGCATAGGGACATGCAAATGTCCATATATGGTTTAAGTATTTGTTCATGTTAGCGATGTTATTGGAAGTAGTTTATTATGACGACCACGGAGTTGTGATGAAACCTAAATTTGTATGGCTGGCTACCTATTTTTCAAGTCTTCTGTTGCTTACACCTGGTAATATTCCTGATTTGAAATTACTTAAGGCTAAAGAAAAGATATACACAAGGATACGAGTGTGTTAAATGGTCAGTCTTGTGTATGACGGTAGTGTCTGTGCCTTCGTGTTTATCCATGCTTGGTAGTCTTTGTTCTTCCAAACTTTGGTGTGTATTGGAAGAAATGAAAAGGGATCGAGTATTTGTGATCAAGATCCTATATGATGATTGTACACTTTGCTATTCATTATGAATTTCATGTTCTTTTCATGGCCTTCTGGCTCCTGCTAGCATGTCTCTCTTTCTTATGTATGATCGAGTTAATAAAATTATTATGGTGTTTTAAGCTGAATTTATTTATTATTAGATTATCGAATGGTCTTCCCAAAATAGTTTTATTAGTACGAGTGATAGTAATGTCATGTCATTTCAAAGTGTCTCTTATCCATGCATTTATCAGTAGTACTTTGGCGGTTGCTCCTGCAGTTATAAAGTTGAGGATATTCAAAATTTGAGCTAATATATATTTGATATAGATCTTATGGCAGTATAAAAGCAACTTTTTCCAGTTAGTAGCACGCTAGCATGTCTAGGCAGCATTAGACAGAGTACCCAAATTATGGGTTTCTGAAGCCATAATGACAAGATTCATTGATGATTGAACTAGCAGAGCTAGTACATTGAAGACATCTTCTTGCTTCTCTTGCAAATACCGTGTAAATTTCAGTAAGCTCTAGCTTCTCGTTTTTCTTTGAATTTCCTGGATTTAGTGTGTTGGGGAGGAAAAAAAGTTGCCAATGAAATTTTGGTCTTTCATACGAGGACAGCAAATAAGTAAAGGACTGAGAGGAGAAGGGTGTTCACCATCTACGGCGAGTGCATGAAAAGAGGGTGAAATTTTATCTGTGTTTGGCTGGGCCGTTTTGCTCGGGGCAGGGCTAGCTCTAGTGTCTAAGAGGCGGAAGCTAGGTTTTTTCCAGAGGATGCTGCTCTTCAACCTTCAGAAACCAAGGCTTTATTAATATTGGCTGATAAATGAAAGAGAAGTTACGGTATCTCAAAGTATGATCAAGGATATGCTTAAAGCTCGGCTTCGGGTAAATCTTTATAATGGAAGACACAAATTCAATCTCTGTCTCCCTCTTGGAAAAAAAATCTAGGCACGTTAACGCTATATTGCTGATTTGTAGTCTCGTCTTTATCATTACTAGTGGGAATACCCGTGCTATGCACGGTGCTGACATTATTGGAAAAAAAATAAAATGATGAACAAATAAAGGTGAAAAAATTTTACCAATAAAATTAAAATATAATATCTGTTTAACAATAGTTTGAATTATAATAGAATGTATATATCATTCAAGAGCCGTCTTTTTTGGGTTGTATGAGAATTTTTTTTATCATTGTATGAGAATTGTTAACAAAAAAATACAATAGTTAATATAGAATAGTATCAATAGAATTTAATACAATTGTGTTGTAATCAAATGAAAAATACGCGCCAATTGAATTGTTATTTGCACATATAGTTAATGAAGTAATCCCTATATAAAAATATTTTGGTACATGTAGTAATTGGTAATCTATAAAATAAAATTAATTGCTAATCTATAAAATTGCTAAATTGTCTATAAATAGCATCAATAGAATGTAATACAATTGTATTGTAATCGAACAATTGTAATACAATTGTATTGTATTGTATCTATAGTTGATTTAGCAAGATAGTGCAGCCAAAAAGTGTGTATGTAAGATGAGTATGACGATATAAGAAACTGTATATTTACCATGATCACGCAAAATCATTGGTGATGTGGATACCTGGCGATCTTGAGGACAGTTAGATTTTTCATTTCTTTGATCTAGAAATAAAATATATATTAAATTAAAAATCAATAGTTTATGTATTTATTTTATGTGTAAATAGTGATACATTGTATGAGAACTGTTAACCAAAAAAATACAATAATTAATATAGAAATAGCATCAATAGAATTGCATTGTAATCAAATAAAAACAATTACAGAGAAATTGTTACCTGAACTAAGGAATGCAATTTTAAATGCTCAAAAGTGCCTTGACGATTGCACATATGTCAGGGGTTTGGTGAGTTTTTTGCTCCTCTTGAATCATTTTCTTTTTTCTAATTGTAATATATTACTTGCAGGTGTTAAGTAGGACTTGGCTCTAACCTTTCGTTTAAGTACTTTAAGCAATGAACTATTTATTCCATGAGTTGAATTGTGCTGTTGCTAGATAGATGAATCACGTAGTTGTAATTGTCATTATTGATAAAGAAAAGAAAGGCTAGAATGCAATTTTGTCAAAAGGATTTCTGACGAAATTAAAAATTAATCCAATTTTAATAATGGGCGATAGTGCCTTAGTTATTCGTAGTATTTGAATTGTTTTTCTCCAATTATAAACCATTTTTAATTATTTTTTTAAATTATCAAAAAATCATTTTTTATTTCATGCAAGATCATTTTTGGAATAAAATAATGAAAATAACTATCGTAACACCTATTTTATGTGATAAATGTGCAATAAAAAATAATTAAAAAAATTTCAGTAATACAAACAAATAAATTTTTATAATATACAATTTATGTTAGAAATAGTAGAACCCTCAATCATGAACCTATACCATCCGCAATTATATAAGCAAGCAATACCTTTTTACCTTTGTTTTACAGTGTAACAATAAGCAAACAACCGTTCATAAGATTTTGTAAAAAATTTTCAGAAATA